AAATAGATTAAGAGCATTTCCAAGTGTTACAACTTCCTCTGACTATTACTATAAAAATTAAGAGAACTGAGCTACACTTGACAACAGAGGGCTATACCTGCATGTCAGAACTTATTTTAATGGAAGGAACACATCCTGTCACTAGTAATGGTACTTCCTGAAAGTCAGTATGATGAAGAATGCAGAAGGTTTTTGCATCAGTACAAGTCTCACCCAGAAAGTTACTATAGTTAAGCTTTTATTTAATATATAAAATGCTGACTGGAGCCCTGGCACAACAGTGTTAATTATCTATGTTTCCAAGATTAAGACACAACAATCAGAGTTGACAAAATATGCCATTGGTTGTTCTTAATACAGCTATTCAGGAAAAATGTGCAAGTCAGTCTCAAATACTGCAAAAATCACTTACACTTCACCAGAACAGGACCAATCCAGAACACCATCATAAGAATTTGACCACTCCACTCTATTATAAAAATGACCAGAAAGGTTGTACAAAAATCCTCAGCTTGCAATATAAACTTCATTAGGAATACAAGTGCATTCACAATGACACATTGACTTACTCTTGTCATGACAGCTTAGATATCACTGTGGCAGGGGTTAAAAATGGCAACTTAGTGCTTAATTAAAACAAGAAGCCTTGGGGACTAATTACCTTGCAAGAATTTTTGTAATATAGAGCAAGAGAAAGAATATAAGGTATCAGCTTTTGCTGTTATAGTAGACAATATCTCTACTAAATTCACTAAGCAATGGCAGTTTTCTTTCTCGAAGTGAACTATTTCCTAAATAATAAGAGACTATATTGTAGCATAGTTTTCACCACTGGCTTGTCCCAAATGCTGTGCAACTAATTAATCAGTATTTACCTTAAGCATAGACAGAATTTACCTTCAACAGTCAAATTTATTTCTTTATATTCATGTATGTCAATTATAGCTTCATAAATAGCATCAGCTGTTTCACAGTTTTAAGCTCTGGGTTTACATCCACATAAAGAGGAAATCTGATAGCCCTTTAGAAGGGGAATGTTTCTTAACTTTGAAATATTACCTTCCTGTTAGACAGTAAATTGTCTTGATACAATTTCTAACTCAAACAGATTAACGAAGTAAGACTATGACACGCAACTGACTTTTCACTACCTGATCATATCCAGTTAGATATTTTGAAGTAGTACATGATTTTGACCTTGTCCTCTGGTTCAGAATTGGCCAAATCTAGCAGTTACCACAGAAGAGTGCCAAATATCATCTGCAATGCAATAAAATGCATACCCATAAGCACATTGGACATATTTGTATATTCATGCCATTACATACATAAAGGATGTATGTAGTTTGAAACAGCTGACAGCAAGACTGGCTTGGTCTGCAGTGTGTAGATCTACACAGTGTAACGAGCTTTATATCCTCTTACTTAAGGGATAGAAGTTTGGCAGTAATTATGAGGCTGCAATTAGCAACAGAACAAGTTAGTCCTGAACAACACTGCCAATTCAGTACCTACATGAAGTCACTTCAAAATCATGGACTTGAAAGAATATTTTCAGGAGTGACTGAAGTAATAGTAGATGCACATTAAGCAAACTACAGCTTCAGCCAAAAGTGCTTGAAAGATCAGGTTGTGAGTAAAAGGCAGTAGGAAATAATAAACAGGAGAGTTTATTTAATCTCCTGTAAATTAGGAAAGGAAACCATCTAGTAGTTTAGTTACAATAATAAAATACTCTGGTGGTGAAATTCTACCACAGCAGTTCCCAGCAGACCATGAGGTGTTCCTACTAAAAGTTATATACTCATGGAAAATAGCAAGCATCATTCTGATTTTTTTTTTTTTTTACAACAAAGCTGTTTTCTAATGAAGTAGTTCTAAACCTTATAGGAAAAAAGGTCATGTATGAAACCTCAGCAGCTGTTTTTGCCTTTAGATAGTTCAAATTACAACTTCTGTGATCCTTCCTAGGCAAAGCTCAGTAATTCGCACTCCCCTGCTAACTCAATCGCCATTCCAGTCTGACTTCCCCAGCTCTGCTGACATGCCCTTTGCTCTTGTAGCTTTCAGCATTATCCCAGATGATTTTACACTTTCTTGCTCATTTTACACCAGTGAAACTCCTCTAAATAAGCAAACAACTCCTACATTTCATTCATGCATATCAATCTTTTAGTGGTTAAGATGAGAATCATCCAACATAAGCAAAATGTATTTCACTCCTAGTCTGTCTTAGAAAGCTACATTTAATGGCAGCTATGGAAAGCTTGAAAAGCAAGTGGTATAATTCCAGTATTTATTGCTAAAACCAAAAAATCCCATTTGACAGTAAATTCACCTGCCAACTTTATTAGCCTTTCTTCCTCATCTTTGCAGATTTATATCTATGAGTAATGGTAGTTTTTGTGAAAAATACAGTAATTCCATTTTCTGACATTTCTTCAATAAGGCTAATGCAAAACAGGCTGCACATCAGAAATGCTTTTTCATGAGAGTGCCTATTATTTGTCCTCCCTCTGGAGCCTGGGCTACTGCAGCTCCAGTGCTTAACACAATTAGTCCTTCTATGACAAGCTGAGGACTGGATTCTAGACACTAGAGACAACTGATTGCAGAGGCTTCCTGTGCTGTTTCCAAACTGCTTCATCCTCAGTAAATACTTGAGAAAGATACAAGTAAGACATAGTAACCTTGAGCTACCCTGTGATATTAATTGATAGGAAACAAATATCAGTAAATAAAAACAAACACATACAAATATGAACTGGAATAATCTGCAGAGACAAACTGCCCTGCCATTCTGTAAGCCTTGATTTAAGCACATAAAGGGGAAAAATTTGATTTAGTGCCTCTCTGTACAGTTTTGTTGGCAAGAATAAAAATAGTCTCTTAAAAATGGGAGCTGAGAATAGAAGCCTAGATATGCAATAAAAATGCCACTGTCTTTCACAAGAAGTCTCAGGCTGGTGTGGTCCATGTGGCACTGTGCCAGCTAAATCCAGCCACAGGGCAATACTATGTGACCTAACTGGGCAACAGCAAACACAGATATTTCTACAAGTGACTGGCTACTCTGGGGATGAAAATCACACTGGAAGAGGATCCGGTAGCAAACTCAGGAAGACAACATGGCAGTTCTCAGTTCCTCAGCCTCCTCCACTCCTTTTTCAAGGCAGAGCCCTTTGGTGGCTGTTCCAGCCCCTGTGGTGTAAAACCTCTGCCCAGAGCTTCTGCAGCTCCAGCTGCCTCTGCTCCTGCCCAGGCACTGCTGCCCTTCTCTCCTGTCACAGGAGCTGAGGCCACCAACTCCTGCACACCAAGTCCCATCTCCAGCACCAAGGGCAGAAGGAGGCTTTGGCCAATGCAGGGCACTCCCATGAGTAGAAGAGCCCTCTGTGCACCTACAGCCATCCAGCAGACACAACCTGAGATTCCTCACTTACTTGATCACCACTGAACAACTCTGGCTAGGAAGGGCTGGGCCACCACCAGCTGCTGAGGAGATACTCTGAAAATTGCTTCCATTCCTGAACACCAGAAATGCCCTGCAATGAACTGTAAATCACTCATAACTGTTATGTTATAACTTGGAATATAAGTATATTCTCTTCTCTCTACATATCCTGTTATTTTCATGCCACTATTAGAGAGCTATCTTCTGTTCCTCTGGATTTTAATATTTATAGTAATTAGTGCAAAAATAAATATTTCTCTTCAAACAACATTTCTCTTCTGGTTCAAAAGGTGAATGCACATCTAATACTATACAAAATAAATATTACACAGGGTATGGAATATGGAGTGCAGATTATAAGCTGTAAACAGAAACCACTTTGAAAAAATGCTTTCCAGAACTGACTCTAGGATGTAGGATTGGTATCATCTCTTACTTCAGAACTGATAAACTCTGTTCACAAAATCATAAAAAGACTAAAGAGCCTCAACTCATTTCCAGTAGATGTAGTATACTAGCAGCAAGGCATTTACATATGCAGAAGATTTTCATTTGATGGAATTCAAGATGTTCCTGCAACTCTAAGCATGTTTTATAAAAATGAACTCAAAGGTTTACAGCTTTTTATTCCAAGTACTGGGGAAAACCAAGAACATGGCACTTGTACTACAAGGCTATATACATGACTCTTATAATTTGATGAGGAATGCTTTTCCTCATGCAACAAAGTTCAACTGCATCTCATCAGCTCTTATCTAGGTCTGACAGTATCTTTTTCTCCTGTTGAAATAAGTTTTTTTGGCATCGTATTCACCAAAAAAACCAAATCAAGACAGTATCATACTGTGCAAAATGAAACAAAAAAGATCCTTCTGTTTAGAACTATTGCACATCTCATTGATGCTAATGGGGATCCTTCTTTCTAAATCTAAGATCAGGTATGTGCAACAAATTGGGTAAAGCTTAGCACTATCTTATTTGGACATTCACTTTTGTTTCCAGCAAGGTGTTTTCCATACTGCAGTGTAAAGAACAAATTTCAGTGTTACTGCTGAAGGCCAATGCTTTTTCAGGTTTGCTTCCAAAGCAGTCAACTGCACAGAGGTAAGTGGAGAAAACACCCACATTTTTTCCCATACTGCAGAGAAGCTTTGAGAAAAGATATGTTTGTAATACACATGGCAGCATCACCATGCTTCATCTGGCATACAAGAGAAATTATACTGACAGTAAATAGAAATCACTTAACTGAGAAAGAAAAATCAAGGCATAATAGGGTATATATATTGTGAAGTCTTTTCTATAACATGACAGACCCTCCACCTACATTTCAGCTCTTGTAGAACTTGTGCCTTTTCACCAGATATATTAATGATTCCAATTTTAATGAAGCAGGCAACCTTAGGCTTCAGATTCTCTCTTCTTCTTTCCATCTTCTCCTAAATCACTGTCTTCTGACTGGCTGCTGCTAAGGACTACAAACTGTCCTTCTGTGCTGCTCTGGTTGGATCTGCTGGAAGCTGCTATCAACCGGCTCTGCTCCTCCAAGTCCTAAGTTGAGAAGGGGGGTTGAGAAATCAGAAAAAGAGTATTACCCTTAAAGCCATCTGCACTGGACACAGGATACCATTACTATGATTTCTAAATGATTTATCAATACTATCAATGGACAGCTTTGGACAAAACTGCAAAAGAAAGTAAGTAGAAAAAACCTAATATTAAGAAATAATGATGAATGGTACCTTCTCAATTTGCTTTTGTTTATTCAGTTCTTTTTGCTGTTTCTCTTTGACTCTCTCTATTTCCTTCTGCTTTTCTGAGGCTTTTCGATCCTAAAGGGCAAAAATGTAAATAAAGTCAGTAACAGCCTGAGATGTTTGAGACACTACTGATTAATATGAGCTCGCTCAAGACTGTGACATCACTGTTTTGATTATTCTGCTTTTAAAGGACTGGTATGGTTGTTAAAAATAGCAAAATTAATCCTATATTGAATATTGTTCTACAATAGATATTGGTCAGTCTTTTCATTTGAATTTAAATTCTAGGAAAAAAGTCCCTTAAAATATACAACAGCATTGCTGCATCTAAAAGCATCTTGCAGAATACAATCTATTACACATACTTAAATATACCCCCTTCTTTCCATTCCCCAGCATCCTTTGCCCCAAAAGGATTCTTACCAGTTCTGCATGTAAAGCTATCTGTTTGGCCAATCCAACAGAGTCACAAATCTAAACACAAAACAGATGGAAATAATTTAAAATGCCTTTAAATTTAAGCCAGTATCCCAAATTAAATACAACAGCATATTAAAGCATTTGCAGGCACTTAAAATTACAGGTTTAACTTTTTCAGTATCTAAAAAATGCTTTAAACAGTTTGAATGGATCTAGCATCTTGAATCCATATTCACAACTGATAGAAGTCACAACCATCACCAATACCTTTTCCCCTTCATTATTTGATTCAAATATATAGCAGATGGAAGTCTGGCGGCTCTCCACTCTCCCTCCTGAGGTTCTAAGCACAAATCCAAACAGGCGCTTATTCTCCTGGTGTGTAGCATACAGCACTACACTGGGCAAGGGAAACTGCCAAAAGGATCAGATAGGGAGAGATTAAAACTGATTCCAAATATTTGCCACACAAGGTTTCAATACACTGCACATTAATTAATGCACAACCACAGCACAAGAAGTTACCCGACCAAATGTAACTTCAAAACACAAACAGACAGCAAGGACTAAATTATTCCAAAGACAAGCAAATGTCAAAAAACACACTCCATGTAAGAAAAAAGGACTACATTTGCAGTGTGAGTCAGTCATCTTCCTAAAAGTGCATACACTCCTGTTTTATTTTGTTTTCATCATTCATTATAGTTACATTTGTGACTAAGCTTTCAATATTTAGTTCCATGTAAAGGTGCTACTTCTCAAAAACCTTTACTGCAATTAGCTTAGTTCTCCTCAATTATATAAGCAAGGGAAAAAAAACCCAACCCATACAAATCACATACCCTCATCAGTTTGTTACAAGAAAACTGTTTTGCATTCTTATTCATAAAAGACGTTGGACTTGAAACAATCTTTTTAAGACCCATCAAACAATGAACTTAAAAATTCTGAGAGTCCCTGCTGCAGCTGCTATGAGCTGGTAGGATGAGTTTTCCTGGAATTAGATGTGTGCATTTAGTATATGGGACATACCCTCAGTTGATGTATCTCACTTCTAAAAGGTGACAGCTTTGGAGCATTTTTGAACTTAACGTCAAACTTTAAATATCAAGATATTTTTCCATGCTTAAAATTTTCTTTTATGAAAATGAAAGCAATTCAGAGCTTGCAAAAAATTGAATGTTTTTAAAAACACAAAATCTGACAGACCATAAATTATGCATAAAAAGGGGAAAAGGGAAGAGTTTTGAAATATGATGAATAAAGACTGCTATTACTAAAGAATTAAGCTGGCCTTATTTGATATCCTAACAAGAATTCCACTTATTCCTGTCAAGTGCATTTTTTATAGAGAAGTAGAAAAACAAGAAATCAAACCAGAAACCATTCAACACCCTCAAGGCAATTATGCATTAAAAACAAAATCCCAAAACAGAGAAACCAAACAGCAAACAAATCCTCTTGGACTTCAGAACTAATGTGACTCCATTATTAATGTTCTCGCTTTAGTATTTTACCCTTTCAGATCACAGGGGGAAGGGATTTTCAAAAGCCAATTTGACGCACTGAAATCACTCCCTTAAACCTGATTTGCAAGTGTTTCTAAATGTCTGCAGTGGTCTCCTAATAGCACTGGAAATTTGGCTGGAAATCTCATGCTATCATCTAATAATAATACTTTTAAAGTAAAAGAATTACATTGCTGGGTATTTATCTTAAAATGCAAAGTTACTTACTCGTAGTCTTGTAACTTGTGTCTGTGGATCAATTAACCTAAAAATTTGTTTTTAAAGACAAACCAGAAAGTAAATTTTACCAAAGTGAAAGAAGATCATTCTGTAAATAAACATCAATAGAAGTCAGGAAGCAAACTTACTTTAAACAGTCACAAGTGACTAACAAGTGTGACTCTGTCATCCTGAAAACATTGTGGATGGCGCGAGCTGCGAGTATCTGACGCATTGTTTCATAAACAACATCTGGGCTTTCATCAGACCTCACTTCCATAGAGCCAAGAAATCTTACAATAAATAACTGATGAAGAATTGAATCTAAGAAAAAAGAAAAGTATTGAAAAAACAAACTCCATTTTGGGTTTCCCATTCAAAACCAAAGGTGGATTGCAGTCAGGAAAACTCCAAACTCCTCCTAACTTGGAAAGAGATTGCTCCTATTCAGCAATTAGAGGTGCAGTTACTACACATCTTTGCATTTGGTTAATGAATACAAAAGATGATGAAAACAAGATGATGAATACAAGAGATGAAAACAGAACTACAATTGTCAAAACTTATTTTTATTTTGCATTGAAGTGAAATTTTGTTTTACCTTCTGTTTCAGGTTTTGAGCCTCCAGATTCACCAAAAGGGTTTGTGCGTCTATCAAAAATGAAAACATTAAAGCAGGAGTCAGATGACAGGAACCATTCATGGACAGAGCAGTAGTCTTATGCTGTGTCAAATACCAATGTGTAATGAGTTCACACACTTGTCATCTGGAGGAATAATGTATCAGGAACCATGAGGAGAAGCAATTCTATCAGGAGCGAGACATAACTTGCTGTATTTGAGGTTCCACATTATAGGGAAAATACCAGGTATTATTGTCCTATTGCTGCCACAGAAAGTTTTGCTCTTTTTTTTTTTTTTTTAATATTTGAATTAAGCCCAAACCAAAACCTTGGTAATGTTTGAAAAGCTATAGTTTCAGGGGAGGAAATTTCACAGAACAGCTTCAGGAAGCACAGCGAAAAACCAGGCCCTTTCAGTACTCCATAGGAGCACCCACTTCTCATCACTGTCAAGGTGTTGAATTACTTACTCAAGAGAAGCCCCAGGTTTGTTTCAAATGCAGCTTTCTCAAAACATCATGGGGTTTTACTCCTAGAGAGTCAAGAGAAACATGGCTATTTCTGGCTCTCAGAGACAGAATTACTATCAGTTACAGAGAAAAGTGAAAATACTCTAGGCTTCCAACTCTGCATTTTTCAAAAACAGTAAAGGAATAAGCATAGGAAATAGAGACATTTTATTTAATATTTGTAGAGGAAGTTACCCATTCTCTTTGGCTGATTGGTAACTGAAAAGCTACTGGCAAGGGTTCAGTATAGTTCAAATTAGGTTTTTTATGGGATTAATCAAAGTATTACCTTGATAGTTAGTGTTCTAAAAACAAATTTCAGAAGTATGAGAAAAAAAATCGTTCAGTTACACATACTGACTGCCATATTTTATCAATTATCAGAAATGCTTTAACTAAGAGAGATCTAGTTTAAAGTAATAAATTTTTTCTAGATTGAAGCCAAGATGGCATAGCTACAATGTTTAGATAACATGGACTCAATCAAGAACCATCCCATTAAAGGCTGACCTGTGTAATTATAGTAAAAGCAAATTCTTTCTACCAGCATCTTCTATTGCTCAGACTTTTCTTGTCGTTTAATACTAAACTGGAACAGTAAATACAAAATCTCACAAGATCTCTCAAAAGGCAAAAATAAAACTTAAATATATGTCATCAGTATCAGAAACCAAGAAAAGAAAAGTACTTCTTTTTTAATAACAAACATGTTACCTATCTGTAGAAACACTGCAGTTCTTTATTGAAGGCAATGGTTAATTGAAAATACTGAGCTCAACTCTATCATTTCTGCTATGAAAAATATTATTTTCTAGACGAGAACTATAACTGATGACATCACAGAATATTCTGAGTTGGAAGGGACCCCCAAGGATCATCGAGTCCAACTCTCCAGTGAAGGGCCCATACAGGGACTGAATCCACAGCCTTGGTGTTACTGGCACCCTGCTCTAACCAACTGAGCTACACCAGGCTCCCACAGGAGCTCAGCCAAGTCTTAAACTTTACATTTCCTGCAATACAGTTCAAGTCTATTTTAAATCAGTGTATTATGAAGGATCTAGTTGGCCACCTGCTTATCTTGCTACACCAAGCAACAATGAAAAGAAAACTGTGGAAAAAAGGAAAAAATAATTGCGTATTTATAATTTCAACTCTTACATCTGTGAGATGTAATTCAAAATTCAAATATTTTCCTAGAGGCAGGGGGATATAACACATATTTGTGACAAGAATCACATAAATTAGTTTTAATATCTTTTAGCTGCTTTTGTTGTTAAGAGCAGCTGGATCTGCAAATACATTTGGTTCATATCTGAATTCTATAGATATAGCTCTAGAAATGCAGTGATGATTTACATGTCTTTGGTTTTTAGTACATCTCCCACTCAAATATAACAACAAGCAGGAGAAAATGCTTTTATGTTTTGGATGAACTCTTAAGATGATTTGAACTTGTCTGTATGTGAAATTACTCTAGAAGCCTAGACCATTTTCACTCACCTTTCAGCTTAAGAGGAGTGTCATCGTATGCCATCATCACCTGGAGGCAGGGCTACCAAATTTCTCTTGAGTTTCCAAGAGGAAATAACCCAAGCTGCTGGGTGAGCAAGCAATAGGAAAGGAAAATACTTTGTGAAACCAAAAGTTTAAAATAAATCAATAAATAAAAGCATTGGCTCTTAAAGCAAGAAAAGCTGCTGCAAAATAGAAAACTACACCTTGACTCTAGTGATGTAATTAAGCCTTTTTTTACAATTCCATTTAACAATTTAACAAATTGTTTTGCTCCACTGGCCACTGCAAAATTTGTGGCATCAGTCAGGAAAAAGGCAATGTGTGTGCTGGAGCTGTATCTTAAATGTGGTTTTCTTGTTTGTTTGTTTTTGAATTAGTAACATTAACTTTAGGGATTTTTTTCCTTCTCACTACATTTCCTACCTGCCTGATTGCCCTGATGACTTTGCTTGGCCAGGCAGATCTTCACTGACAGGAGATATTATGTCAAATTGGATGGGAGTGTCAGGGGCAACAAGGGAATCCAAGGAAAGTGCTGAGAGAGTTGCTGAGTCAGATCCCAGTGACCCTGAGCTGCTGGTACGAGCTGCAGGAGGACGAGATTGTCTACAACGAAATCAAAAAGGCAAAGTTAGGGTATGTAAATTCAGGTTGGTTGGTAATGAATTAAACCATAGGGGAGACCTATACAGTATTCCAGACCTTAGATGTAAAACAAAACAAAACAAAAACCTGAAGATTGGGGTATAGCAAACAAATCTATGTACCTAGTCAAATTTCAGTTAAAGTTACTACTTCCATTAATAATTGCATCAGATTGATTTAATATCAATATATAATCACATATTAAGTATAATACAATCTGAGATCTGCTTCCAGGAATTGTACATATGAAGAAAAATCTCATCAAGAAATCACACAACCAAACAGATACGATGAAACCAAAATGTCCACCAGCTGGAATTAGGATTACTTGTAACAATGGATGTTCAACAGTGCTCCAGCAGTGAAAGGCGTGTTCAGGAGATTTTCCTCTGGCCTATCAAAGATTTAGTTCTGATCACAAAAACATTTGTAGGTTTGTTAGGCTTTTTTTTTTTCCCCTGGAACTTTATCCAGGATTTTCTTTTTATATGTGCACCTCAAATGCCCTCTGGTTGCTCCACTTACACAGCTGGTCTCATACTCTCGTGCCTCTGCTGAAAGGAAGGAGAAGGAGTGACAGCCTCCAGAGCTGACTGGTTCACACGGGCAGCAATTTCCTACAGCAGAGATGGGAAAAAATACCTGAAAACACTTTTCTCAAAATACAATTTTAGATTTTATTTATATGCGACTGGGAAAAGTTATAAACTCAACCCTTCATGAGAATCTTGCATTCTTAAAATTTTCACCAACACATCTCCAGCATTTTCTTCAAACACATAACCTGATGTTAACTTTCTCAATTTAAATTAACACATTGGCCTTAAAATACTGCCAGTGTTAATAAAGGGCAACTGAGAAAAGCTCCAATGATAACTCTGGGAAAACAGGCAAATGTAGCCAGGAAAACCAAAGGAAGAATCTCACTGGAAAAATGCAGCCCTCAACTGAGAACTAAAACCCATGAAGACACACTTCATATATAGATACATGCTCTGTTATAAAACAGTTTTTATTGGGCCAATTCCCCTAATTTAGTAAGGAAAAATAATTATGTAAGTTTGTATCAATATGAACGTACTCTATAAATATAAAATTCATAACTATATATTTTAGTAGAGTTACCTCAGGATTTTCACTTAGATATATCTGCTTAGATATGTTGTTTATGGTGCAAATCCACTGAAAAAGAGGAAGAAAAAAGAAAAATTAATCTGTTATGTTTTCTAAACAAACTTGATTGAATATCTGAGTTGCTAGTTTCAACACTTTTTCTACTTTCTTTGTAAATTCAGGGAGCCAAATATTCTGCACACCCAGCTTGTTATTAAGTTCACTGCACACGGCACCATAAACTTCAAGTTTTTACTCACAAAAATTATTTTAGTTATACTACAACTAAAGAAAGCTTAACTCACAACTCTAAGGAATTAAAGGAATTAAGGAATTAAATCCTCATCAGGATTCTCTGTTCTTTATTCTGTGCTACAGATGACATTGTTTCCTCACAACATTATAAAAATTCAATTTGGCTTTTGTGGAATTTGCTCATTTCTTTCATCTGCAAGCTAGAATCTGCTTTCTCTCTCTGCTCTGGAAAACCATTTGCTCCTGTTCTGGCTTTTCAACTTTTATCTGAAGGAGGAAACTAACATTAACACTAAGATAAACACCATGTTACTAACAAAAATAATTTATTAATAAATAGAAACAGAAAAAAAAATGCAGTATACATTTTTTTGGTTAGGAATGTCTTTCTGTGCAGCAGAAACTCACTGGGCTCCAGGCACACCTCCTATAAGCTTACCTCTTCATAATCTTTTTTACTTTCTGCCTGCAAGATTGAAGACCTGAAAGAAGATAATAGAAAACATAAAAAATAATAGTTTTGTGTATCTAAAATGCCTCACAAATAGAGTCAGGCAAGAAATTGCATTTTCCTATTTACACTTCAAACAAGCTATGAAAGGCTGAAGATTGTGTTTGTGCTGAGTGCAGTCAACATTTAATTATGATGGGGAGGAACCTATGCTTTCCTTTCAACAGGAAACAGAAAAGCAACACAATTCTAATTCTATCCATGTAATACTTAAATATTCACAAAAAGCAGTAATATGTGATTGTCAACTAATTACCATAATCTTATTATGAAATACTACTGAGCTACATTATAGAGTTTGTAAACAAAAATTCAGTTAACACAGTTAAAAGGATATCCCAGATTTTTCTTCTAAATATCCACAGAATATATCAAGTTAACATCTGGACAAAGGCACACCATATTTCTTTTCCTAATTAGTGAGTCCAGTATTTCTTACAAGAACCAGCAATATAAGACCACTCACTTTTTGCCATCAAAAGATGTTATCTGAAAACAGTACCGCCTGTCCTCACAGTCCACAGCCATCACTGAGCAATTGTCTATGTCCATGACAAGTCCCCCAGCCACATCTCCTCTTGCCTGGCTCATCAGATTTCCACCTTGAGTGAAGTAAAACTGTCTCTCCCAACTGGAAGACACCAGCCCTGTCTTACTAAAAGATAAAAAGAAGCCCTCAGTTAGCCTCTCTTTTTGCTTACTCTATAATGTTAGTTGCTGCAATTGTGTTCTAATACAGAAATTAATGCTTCATTCAGTAAGTATTTTATTTTAACTGTTGTAAAAGTAATCAACTTTTTTTTTTTTTATTCCTTGGAGCTTATTGTATAAAATACAGTAAAAAAATTTAAACTTGTTACAACTTATTTTTAGTAGCTCTGAAAAACAGCTGTGGGACTTCCTTAGAGGCACAGCTCCCTCCTGTGGACAATGAGCTGCACAGAATCCAGAAGCTCCTTCCAGAGGTATTTTGGTTAACAGAGTGTTTTGCCTTGTTTAGATCAAAATGACAATGTTTTATTAGTAATTTGAATCCCCAAGCTTTAACAGACACTTCTAGAACAATCCTGATAGATGGATCTTGTTACTTCCCAGTTAGGATGCAGAAAATTACACTCTCAAACCCTTTTTTTTTAACTGTGAAAATTCAGTAAAATTTAGACTAACATCAGGATAATTATGCTTTGCACCTGAATGAGATTATATCAGTGTAACAATGAATTTAATACTAACTAGGTGAAGAAGGCCAAAGAAAAAAACAGACTAGCTCTTATGTGACTTATTCAGCTAAATTTATAAAACCAGCATAGCTAACATCTAAAAAATTTTTCTAGCTTCTTTAGCTTTCTTTTCCCCAAATTAAATACTCTGGAATTTTTAAATAACAAGTTACTCTTACTTTCTTGCATTGAGATAGCCAGCTTTCCGTGTCAGGTTCCTATGGGCAGGAAATTTGGTAGGATCAGGATCAGGCAAATACAGTGGATCACTGGCTACTTCCAAGTCCTCTATAGTTTGTTGCATGTTTTCTACTTCACAATCCATTTCCCTGCGAACACTAAGATAAAAAATGTGTTATTAACAAAGATAATTTATTAAGAAGTAGAAATAGAAAAAAACAATTTTCATAAAAGTTCAAAATTCAACGAAGCCAACTTACTTCTGTACACTTGTGCCAATATTGGTCAAAAATTCTTCCAGTTGCTCAGTAAGATTTTCTGAACCCATTTTAAAAAAGCTTATCTTTAAAGAAACAAGGATGAAAAGGGAGAATTTAGTCATTAATAAAACTACACTAACAATTAACAGATGAAGTCATAGGAGACTGAAGTTTCTCAGAGAAATCTGTTTTCATCCCTCATTCCCATCAAAGCCTCTTACTAAAAGCAGCAGAATGTGTGTTTGTGGCTGCAGGGGAAGGCTACTGCTGGCACTGCAGTGGCATTTGTGTCACAAGGACATGAACAGAGCTGCCTGGAGGAAATACAGAAGCACACAGGAACTGCCCTGGAAACACTCCCAAGGTCTCTCTGTCCTTTTTCAATGTCACCATTCTGCTAAATCTTGTTATGGGGGGGGTTATTTGGGGCACATAGGAGAGAACCTGTGAGGATTTGTCCAGGGCCATCGACAGGGAACTAACAATATGTATTTTAAGCACAGAGTACTCCATAATGGGCCAGAAAATCTGCCACAGCTAAATTGAGGTTACAACAGGAAGCCCTGGGACATGGCCCTGCCCTTCTGCTTCTTAGAACCAAAGCACCAGGTTGCACTTACTTTACTGCACAAAACATGCAGAACTTGGCTCTTAAATACAAGCTGCAAAGTTTCAAAAGAAAGCAAGAGTTCTTGCCTTTGGAAAGCTTTCAGACAGTGTGCAGAAGTTGATTTCTACTTAGGTCACTGTAGCAGTGCCAGATGCTGGAACGCTTGACTTGCAAAAAAACCCAAAGCTCATGCTTAATAACTTACTTCCAAAAATACAAATTAAGTCTGTCCAAATAACTTTATCATAGTTCTAGTTTCTGTTGCACCCATCCTCAAGTAAACCAATCATGTACTTACTAATATTAAGCAAAACCAAAGCAGAAAGTTTTTTAGCATTCTGGCTCTTCCACAGTCTTGACTGAAAACAGTAGTTTTGTGGCTTTTGATGAGTATCTCATTTCAGAACAGCTGCCATAGGAATGAGTTTAACTGTCTCCATGTTATTTGCTGAGAAGCTTCACTTCTACGTGCACTTGCATGAAAGCTCTAATTAGTTCCTCCATTTGGTGGAATCAAGTGCCCAGCAGTGAAAATCTAGGGACTGCATCAAATCCAGCCATCTGAGTTTTGGGGAAAAATTAACCTTTATATTTGTCACCCAGACTTTGCTAGAAGACTCTGTGATGGCAGTGAGGGCATGTCATGAAGAGATTCCTGCAGTGAGTGGGCCATGACCAGTGCTAACTAATGGCACCATCAGGGCAGCAGCTGTGGCAGCTCAGAGAAGTGGATGAGTGGGTCTTTTTCTCCATTTCCTTCCTTGGACTGCAGAAGAGGGCTTGCAATGGATTTCAGTACATCAAACTTCATGAAGTACTTTTATTTCTTCTTTCAGACCTACAGCTTTCAGAATCTGAAATTACCTGAGCTTGCATGTATCCTAGCAAGGGTTCTAGCAGAGAAATTTTCTTTTTGTACTGGAGAGTATTTAATGCACAGAAATAATGCATCATAGTCTGATGCTGTTTTTTCCTTGAAGTATATACATCTTCTGTAACTTCAGCCTTGATCTGAAGAGACACAGACAAGGGGAGGAAAAAAAGGAAAGTTTGAGATTGACATTGATCACATGCTTCTGGACAGCTTTATAGCCAGCATGGAAAAACCCACAGTCATGTTCTACCCTCTATCACCAGCTGCTGCATAATTTACTATTCTACTTCTCTAATTTAAACATGAGATATGTGAAAAACAAATACAGCATCATTTTCTACCTGGAAAGTGTGGTTATTTCTTCACAAAAACAAACTGACTATGATACCACAATATTATTATTCCTAAAGCACTGTCAAGTGTTACAGGACAGGCATGTATTGGAGAAACCTGCTTTTCTGTCTAGACTGCTAAAAGCTATCAATTGTCACAAAGAATCTGCCATACACTGTGTGCCATCATAAATATATACACAATGAAAATTATTCCTTATCGTCTCTAAAAATCTTTATATTAAGATTTTGTTTTACAAACCTTTTCATTTTCCTTTCTTTTTGACAACCGACTGTATCTGGTAATGGCAGCATCATGATCTAAGCAATCAAGAGAGAATTTATGATCATTTTCACAAATTAATGACTTAATGAAACAGAGCAGAAAACCTCTTATATCACAGTGTTACAGAGACAGCTGAATGCAAAGTTCTGTCATTTTAACACCTTGAGGAATTGTTCTTGTCTGTTTATAATCACTTCACTGAAACAAATACTTGGGCTGAAGAAATGCATTTAACCAGATGCAAATGTTGCCAAATTGCTACAAAGTTCCCTAAACATCCACTATTTTTCAAAGAAGAACTGTCCATTAAGTTGAGAAACTTTACATTATGAAAACCTGTATCTAATCTTTTTTGGTTCTAAAGCAATGAAACAATTTTCATTGAGAGAAGTAGAATCTTGTTTAAATAATAAGTTCTCTACATGGATATATTAGAGGCAGCTAAAAAATAACTTCTGAAAATAGGGAAGAGAACTATGAAATTCATTTTAGGAAGGTAATTTTTTTAATTGATCCAGTCCTGACTTTAAGAAGTGAACTAGCACCTTACTCTATTTGTAATTTTGGTGGCATAATCTTACATTATTTAATAATCATACATACACTTAATTTCAATCATACATACATTTCCAATTTGCCTTAATGCTTCAGTACACAGAGCAGAGATTTACAGAACCAGGGAAAGTTGAGTAAGTATCACACAGAAAAATTAAATCTTAATTAGTTACTTTAAGCCTACAGGCTTAACTCCACACTCCACTAGTTAAGGACAAATAGTAATCGACAATAATACTTGTAATATTGATAAGATTAATACTTTACACTTACCATTGCTTGCAATTTGGAAAACTTCTTTTAGGGTTAATATCTCTAAAAAAAAAAAAAACAACATATCACAATTTAATTAAGTTGTTATTATGTATTAACAATTTCTCATATAATGTTTCACTACTGAGCAATAGAAGGTAACACCTTGTACCGTACTGAGCTACCAGCACAGGCACTACATGGCCAGGCAAGTCTCCTCCTACCTGGGGCCTGAGGATCATTTCTGTGCTTACCAAAAAAAAAAAAAAAAAAAAAAAAAAAAAAAAAAAAAAAAAAAAAATGTATTGTAATATGTATTGTAATATTGTAAGGAGGAATTTCCAGTCTGGGTTCTGGTTTGAGCTGGGGACATGCAAGCATGGGAGATGGGCAGTATCAAAGCCCAAAACACACTGGGACTCCCCCCAGCTAAAATCAGCCAAATTCCAGCTGGTTATTGCCTCTCTGTGCCAGGAACTGGAACCAGTACCATACCTTACACCTGTTCTGACCTTGCTGTGGTTTGTGCCATATTACAATACAAACCAGCAGAGAGCCATAATCAACTTTATAGTAAAGCAAGAACAAAAAAACTTTCCAGGAAGTGCCTATGAAGCCCACAAAGAAGTGTAGGGTCATTACAAACTACACTGGCTGGGGGCGAAATCTTGCTGTGGGAAAATTTAATTAGCAATTATTGCCCCAGGGATGCCCCTTCAGTAAGTACTAACAGGAGATTTTTCAGGTCCTGAGGAGCAATATCAGCCTTGGAATAGTCATGATCCCATGCTCAAAAAAAATGCCCAAACCATAATCTTTTCAATCCATAACTTTGCTGTGATCTATTACCAAAGAAGTATTTTCCAAGATTAATGAAGAGTTAGAAGACCTATGAGAGACTTGTAATTTTTATATCAATTTAGACTTCAGATACTTATATCTTAGATATACCCACTCTAGAATGTTCACAATAGGGATATTTAAGTTACATGGAGCTTAATTTTTATAATTTCTACTTAGAAGCCCATTTGCCACAGCAGTCTGTTCACTCCAGTATACGGAGTAAAACCTATCATCATCACACATATTAGATGTTATTTTAAACCAGGCACAAGATACAATTATTACAAAAATATGAAGCTGGAAGCACTTTATGTCTGCACATAAGAAGTCACCTGTACTACCAGCAGAGCTGAATAACCACATTACAAAATCTCAGTATAGTAAGTACTACCTATGACTTTGGCCTTTTGAGCTTAGTCTGGCAAGTATACAGATGTCATGATCTGATATACAAACCTTTCCTGAAAATGCAAATTATCTGAAAATTATTATTTCCTTCCTAATGTTTTTGAGTAGCTGCTAATTGTTCATCTTGAATAGAAGATAAGTGCTTCGCTAATATAAGTAATATTTTTGTTACAGCAATAATAATGTTAAGTTCAACTGTAATACTTTAACCAATAGAAATAACTTACTTTGCTTTTTAAATGGGGAGATGCATACAAGTAGTGTGTTCAATTTAGTGAAAAAAGAGCTATGAAGATTAAATGCTATGTTTTTATTGTTGCTGCTATTGAAAAAACAGGTCAAGTCCTCTACCTTTTAGATCCCTTTCTTTAAACTGGGTAATAGGAAACATCATTGCATCTGCAAGCTGAGTTGAAAGTACTGCATGGCAAGAGCTGAGCTGAAAAATACAAAAGAAGAAAATCTTAGGAAAGCAGTGCTGAGACCAAATCACAAAAGGTGGACATCAATGTAACTCAAAGACGACATGTACAACTCAAACACATTTTTGCATGTTCCCTTGTTTGCAGCTACTTTTTTTTAGGTTCCAAATCTCATCATCAGTTTTTTACAGAAAACTTTAGAGTTTAGTTGTTTCTGAACTTTTCCAAGCTACTCGATCTGGTCCAAAAACAGTCTCATTCATCCTGACTAATCCGTTTATTTCTCCAGTTTCCCTCCAGCTATGTCACAGCCCACCAAAGTAGAACAAAATGTGATCCTCTTCCTAAAATGCTGTTTAAGTGAGTAGAGGGATCACAACAAAAATCCTGATTCAGCTCTTAATGGTGCTCAGTTGTGTGTCCTATGAGTCAGCATCTAAGAAAGACAGCAAGAGGGTCCTCTGTCAGTCAGGTACCTAAAATCAGGCAATACAGATGCCTCATGTACATAGTTGCTAACTGCCACTGTGTAATGGTTTTGGCTCTATCTCTAGTAGTTAAGCTATGTTTTTTTCAGCAATGTATCCTCATTTTGCTGAATTCCTTCTTTATCTTAAGGTTATGTAACTTTAAATAGATGTTGCAATATACAATTATTGTTACCTTGTTGACAAAGGAATGCCATTTCTGTACCTCCTGGCTTAAAAAAGGAGTAATTAGGCAGTTCAAGTCTGTACCTGACAGCATTAGCAAAGCACATAGAAGGACTTACCTCATCAATCACTTTTGCAAATTGCTGCAGAGTGGAAGTCATGACTTCATCATCTCCCCCGAGTGGAAAACGCTGAGAAGGCAAAAAGAATTATGTTGTTTGCAGTGTTTTGTGCCGTTCACAAAACTGGATTAATCATCTCTATGAACATATCAGGTATTCCATTGTTTTTAAATATTACACAGTTAAGATATACTGAAGCAGTTTACCTCGTTAGGTGGAAAAGGAGGATAGGGAGCAGCAGCCTCTTAAAAGAGGCAAATTTTTGTTTCAAACATTTTTAACCTCAGAAAAGGGGACCCAGCAGCAAAGCTACAAACAAAAAAACCCTTCATAGTACAGGGGAAGAAAGTTATGGATTCCACAGTCTGTGTTTTCAGAGATGGAATTATGCTCACAGAGCAAATTATGGTTGTAATTTGGAGATTGCAATGCACTCTCTTCTCTTTAGGACTATTAATATTTAAGCACTTAAGGGTAAACAGGTTTATAAAGTAAAAACAAAACAGAACTACCCTAAGCAATTCTATAAAACACTAATCCAAAAGTAAAATATTTCAAAAGTTATTAATATTCTTCATGGTAAGAGGAACTTCATTCTGGTTTAGTTGGAAGAACTAAAATAAAGACAGTAGATTCTTTTGGCAACAATTTAAATCACCAACCACAGCAGTTCATTTTATCTGGACCAAACCAAAATACATTCTACACTGTGCTCTGAGACATAAAATACTACAAAAATACACAGTATTTTGACCACAGTATCTGACCACACACAGACAACATGATTTATGCAGTACCTGTTTCTCATATTCCTTCAGAAGCTTTGAAGTCAGATGAGTTGCTGCACTTAATTCATTCTGATTAACAAAGAAGGGAAACATGAAAATCAATAAAAAGGCAAACAGGTAAAGTATATCTAAATTAAAAATACAGACATTAACTCAAATTTTTAGAAAATCATACAAAATAGATTCTGTTTCTGTCATAAAAACACGTTTCTCAAGTTATTTCTAGATGAGTGAAACATGAATATATTGTGGGTCAAAAATAACCTCCTACTTGATACATACTATTATACACACCAAGATCATGTTAATGTGTACAACATTTTTGAAACACTTGGGAAATACATTAGAATTACTTGAAGAACAGAGAATATAATTTCACTTGTCATAAGAAATTCTGTTGCACAAAAGAATCTCAAGAATTTAGTCTTTACCACTCCCTAACACAGAGAAAAGCAATCATTAATTCTTACTTTATTTCACTTCTTCGTTTAAAGCATATGGAAGTTAAAGAAAAGCATATTGCTCATTCTAATGTCAAAAAACCCAGAAACATGAAATGTAGTTCCAAAGCTTTATAATGCATTCAAGAATTTCATTAACACTACCTGAGCATCATATATTCTGTGCATGGCTTGAAACAACTGATTGATGTAATTGGATATTGCAGCAGCATCTTCTTCAAATACT